GATATTGTACTTACACGGTCAAATGTCTATAGGCGCGCCCATGGTTGAAGTTCAATAGTTTAACAACAATTCATTCATATCTTATAGCATTTCACTTATTTCGAAGAATCACATTATCCAAATTCGTTCTCTTCCAATATCGGAAGAGTATAAATGTCAAAATTTCAAAAAATTATAATCTTTTCGTGAAATGACTATTGAAATGCAAAATCTTGTTTAGGTACGCCTTCACTTTTTCTGCAGTCACCGTTGGTTTGCATCGGCCTACGTACCGCCAAAGCATTGGAGTTCCTGCGCTAAAATCATCCGTATCATCACTTGAATTTGTTCCACGTATAACCCTATTGCTTTCTCTCTTCTTGGACGTATTCGACTGCGTCGACTTGTAGAGAGTTGAAGCGTTGATTGATATATTACGCTTAGTGTAGCTCTGTTCTGTGTGGACGTTGTTTTTTCGTTTTGGTTTTTTGTAGCTCGCGGTTTTCCACTCAGTGGTATTGTTTTTTGACACAAGGTCGTTGTCCTCTATTTCGACTACTGTATCAGCTGATGAATTGGATGAAGTCGATGTGTTAATGGGATGCAAATTTTCCTCGAAATTTTCAATTTGGTCCTTAGCACGGAAGACACAGTGTGGATCAGTTGTTAGGAGTCTAACCATGTCAACATTACTTTGCTTCATAAGTTCTACCTGCTCTCTTAGCATAACTATTTCGTCAACTAATATTTTTGTGTGTTTTTCTAGTTCTTCAGAAATTATTTTTCTGAAACTCTCTGAGAATAATATGGTGTCATCTTGTGTTTTCTATAGGTATCTAGGGAAGTTTTTTAATTCTTCAGAATACAGAGGTATATTGATAAAATGAGTGATCTGATGTGTACGAATATTGGTCCACTGCTACTACTTCTGGATCATCAGTTGATTATTCTTATATTTTCTGTAGTTTCTTGTTCACTTCATCTGATTCGATCTGATTTGCAGGATATTTATAGGATGCGTAGGTTCATAATCAATGCATAAGTATAATCACTAGCTCCATAATTATGCTCCATACCGCAAAACACACATACCTGGTACCACGACCTGGTTATTAGCCCCTGGAACAAAATTTCAGATAGGTATTCCTCTCTGTTCTACTGACCCATCCAAAATTGCCTTCTCATTTCGAAGATTGAAGGTATTTTACAGAAGTATATGTAAATATCCATATTTTATAATAATATAAGTAATTATATACTATAAATTAATATAAATATGCTGAGCAGACCAAAAAGTTTGTACACCCTATTTGGTAAACATTTCATGACATTTGGCCTTAAGGTTGACAACTTGTCATCTTACTGCCTGTGACGTCACGAGTGACCGTTTCCCCCCCTGCCGCACTATCGATCGAGGCAACCTTCCTATACAAATTATAATCAGTTCTACCAACCTTGGGAATTATGTACCGGAGCGCCATCTTGTTGAAACCAACAGAGTTCTGAACTTCCGCAATCGGTAACTCATCCAGAGCTTCCTCAAGATGATTCTCAAGCGAATTTCTATAACGTTCGGAAGTCTGTGTTTCATGGTAAATAGAAGGAACAATAATTCGTGTACCAAATATTGCAACCCACATATTAAAGCCGAAACGGTGTTGGTGTCTCGCTGTAATGTATGAATGTTCATTTTCTCGTGAACAATAATGTGTATTTTTTCTATCGAAGCTACCATGATTAGTGACCATGCTTTCATCAGTCCAGATGATTGTTCGAGAGAAATCTGCAAAATTTTAACATTTCCTGGTATACCACTCACAGAATGTCTTGCGCCTTTCGTCATCGCCTGGTTTTAGCGCTTGACATATTCTGAATTTGTATGGATGGAATTTTTGTTTCCGCAAAATGAAATGGGTTGTTGATTGAAACCAGTTGATGAGGTGTTAGTGTGTTGACTAATTTTCCTTCAAAATAAGTGGAACTGATGGCATCTTTCCTTTGGAGTTTCGAAAAAACATTGATGATGGCCAAAAATAGGTCGAAACACAAATGAACCACCTTGTATAATACATGGTTGAATTCAGAATAAAAAAACCTTTTAGAATCTGTGAAAAAATTATCAGGACCGTATTTAAAAAACAAAAGTTGATGATGGTTCCACGAAAACGAAACGTCGCATGAAAAAATCGGTATCACCACGTTGACCGTCATCAAAAGTTTTGCTGTATCTCTAATAATAACGGAGAAAAAAAATAAAATAGAAATTCCAGAAATTCACTTTTTTCGATATAACTCAAAAACTAAAAATAATTTTCAAAATTTTCGAAGGCTCTTGATATGAGCCTCCGAATGCGCAACTTTTTCCCCATTTAACCGATTTCGTATCTCTTACCGTTTTCGAGATCCCCATGCTGTTCAACCTTATCTTGGACAGACTGTATATCAAAAAATGTTTATACCACGAAATAGAATGAGTAAACTAAAATAATGAAGAAATTATCATGAAAAAACCTCCTGAAACAATAGAGACCTATACATGGGTATGTCAATATAAATAAACTATTTTGTTAAAAACTGAAACTACTGGTGTGGAAACTAAATGGTGTATCTTGTGAATTAGTGTGAGGCTAGTGCAATATTGGTCCTGATGTATAGGAAGGATAAGTATTAGTTATTTTTTCAACAATGAATAGATAATACAAGGATATACATCATCTATTAGTAAAGGCTTGTATTTTCGAAGTTTCAGAACAATAATAGATTGAATACAGGTTGATTCATGAAAACTGTTGGTTAGCCTAATTGCAAGATTTCAGCTAATATATTTGCGAATTTCTAGGTCTTCCGCTACGCCGGAAGTATGCGGCTACAGCTCCGTTATTCCAAATATAATATAACACCCTGTATTTCATTACATCAACATCAAAATCAACAGTTCGTATCGGGTTCGTTCACTGTCACATCCCATAATTCGCTGGAAAGGTAGTAGGAATACCCGGAGGATGGATAACCCCCACCCCACCACTTTCGTCCGTCCTAAAAGTTTCGCGAAATCATCATACATGTGTTGAAACATATAAAAAACAACAAAAACGTGGAAATGAACGTCATGAAAACGTCACGAAATCGTCGAGGATGTGTCGAAACGTCGAGAAGCGTCGAAAACATGAAAACAACGCCATGAAAACTTCACGACAGCGTCACGCATGTGACGAAACGTTGGGAAGGGTAGAAAAACATGAAGAAAATGTTTCAAGCAATCAGACGTTTTAGGGTTTTCCACAAAAATAGTCCATCACAGAAACTTGAATGAAAGGAACTGTGGAGGAGATTTAGAAGTTCTACACCTCCTGGATTTCGACACAGTAGAACTGATTCACCAGACAGTCGGAGGAATGAGTTATAATATTCAGAGTGACCATAGATTCGTTCGAATTTGGAAAAATTCAATATGTTTATGTCATTTTTTTCAAATGGAACACCACAAATTTAGAATCGGATTCAATACCAACAATAATCATATTGAATAAAAGTGTACAAAATCAGCATACCTATACATAAACATTGGGGGAGCCAAAGAAGCACATACACGTGCTCCATATACTTGAATTTTCATATATACATAGTATAATATGATAAAAATAAAAGGAAAGAAAGTATTATTCGAATATACCATAAAATAAATGATATGAGATATTATATTAGTACATTAAACACCTAGGGACTGAATTGGTCTTTTGAATCCTGAGACAAAAAGTTTATAGTCCGATCAACTCGAGGGCAATAATTTGTAGAGAGATTCAGAAACACTTCAGTCCTGCGATGTGTATACTATTTTATGCACTTTCGGATAAAACGTTGAAGATAACAAAAAAAAATTGAAAGCCACCAAACAGAGGCACTCTATTTCTAAAACGTCATCGAAGGGGCTGATTGTTACCATATCAAGGACTTCAGTAAATAGTTACTGGTGATCCAAATTTGGGCCAAAGGAGTGGTACTTCGAATCCCTAGATATTTAAAATGTACTGCACCCTTTGAATTCCTGAAGTGTATAAAATACTCTTATTCCACAGCTGTGCTCATCAGGGTAATTAGATAACAATCAAGTAGAGTCCGACCACGTTAACTTTGGGACAGCACGCGGTCGCGTATGCTTTGTATATTATGAATGCGTTGAGTACGTGTGGCGTCTCAAAGTTAACGTGATCAAACTCCATAATTATGTCTCAGTACTCTCAGTCTAAGGTATATACAGGGACTCTACTCTCAGCCAGGTAACTATTGGTCTCAATCCGGAAAACAGGTCTAAACAAGAATTGGTCTTGGTAGCTGATAAGTATATTTGTCGGGTAAGAGAAGATGATATATAAAGTAATGATTCAGATGGGAGTATGAAGAGCATAACCACATAGCAAGAATGCACTTTCACCGTACGGGTGTACTAAGATACACACAATACGGCGTATGTCGTCACGGCCAACTTTGCGAGTTGCCACGTATTTTATGCAATGAAATATCCTAAATCTGAAGAGTTAATGTAGGTACGGAGCACTGAGGAGAAAACGGTTTGTGACAGTGAACTAATTTGGGCGAGTATATATACATACTTCGAGATAATGGAATGCATTCTTTCAAATTGTATTCAACAGTTTCATTGAATCAACTCTGATAGATATTATCGACTATTGAAATTAAATAAAAGTTCTTTAAAAATGTATATGGATGGACATGATCACTATAGATTTAGAGATACATGAAGTAGTTATAGTGGGTCTTCAACAATGATTGAAAACCACGTGACAGATTACTATGCAACCAAGAATACATTCGTATCTCTTTACCATGGGTGGAAAAGAGATGTTGCATTTAAAACGGTCACCTGGCATTCAATCATTGTTGAAGACCCGTTAATATTACTAAAGAGATTGTTACTATTTTTGTAATTATTTAACGAATACTGACATGATGATCGTTTATTATTATTATTATTATAATTATTTTTGATGTACATGACTTACTTGAGAAATTGCGAGTAGCCAACATAGTAGTAAGGATAGCACCCTGAAAATTCAATCAGATTATAACATAGTATGTATAAAATTCGCAGTTCGTCCATTTTGGAATTTACCTTGAGTTTGCGCCTTGCGTTGAATTTCTTGAGACAGTCCACAGTTTCTTGTCTGTGGACAACTGAAGCGACCCGTTCTCTTTGCTGCAAATAAAAAAATAGCAATTCAGAAAATCGTAAATTATATATGAAAATTATTTTATCAGTTGATATAATAAAGAACTAACTAACATTCTACTGTACATTATCCGAGAAACACTTTTTCATTGACAGATTCGACTGTGAAATAAAGGTGATTTCATAAAACACCATCTATTACTCCATAAATTTCAACATAGAATAGTATATTATTCAATAATGACCTAATTCAGTATTGAAATTTCAAGTCAATGGAGAAAAATGCAGATTTGTTTTTTACCTCTCTATATCTGATAAATGGAAAGGTTTTCGATGATCAGCAGCTAATTTCAAATCGAATCTTATTAATCGCGACGTCGCGACTAAACAAACGTCGTGAGAACCAACCAATAGATTCTACTAAAGAGAGAGAGGCCGAAAGAGCTACCAGCTGATTGGAGAAAACTCTATCTGTATTTGTTACACTTGCAGCCAAATCGATGATAATTTCTTTCAGGTTTCTTTCAACGCTTGCTACAAGATGGCAAAGCAATAAGGGCACAACTATAGTAGTTTGATATTATAATATCTTTGAGAATGACATGACATGACATGACCTAACCTGACCATAATATACCGGGTGGCTACGGAAGTATTGCCTACGGAATATCTCAGTTATTGTATAAAGTAGGTTTGTAAAATTTGGAGCATCGATATAAGGACATAAGAGCTAGAATTTGAGCATATTGACATGTCGAAGTTAACTTCCGGTCTGACCGGAAGTAACATCAACTTTTTATTTTTTTAATGGAAACCCTATTTTTTTTCTTTTCGCATTATTCAGCATTCAATTCTCTTCCTAATGACATATCACAAGTTGGTATCCTACTAGGAACTAGATCAGAAAAAAATTATTATTGAAATTCACCGAGTAGGCCGTGGAAGCAAAATGAATGCCAAAAAATGACTTTTTATTATATCATTAGAAAGGAATGGTTATGCTGAATAGTACAGGCAAGAAAAAGTTGTATGTTCCTATTTAAGTTATGGACCTACAGAGTATTGTTTTTTCCCAATTTTTCCAATATTTTTTTGGCGGCTTTTTATAACGCCAACGAATGAAAATGAAATATCACAGTAGTAGCAACTGTTATCAAGTGACGTATGGTTTCCATAGCCAACTTTTCATTTTTGGGCTTTCATTTTGCTTCCACGGCCTACTCGGTGAATTTCAGTAATAATTTTTTTCTGATCTAGTTTCTGGTTAGATACCAACTTGTGATATGTCATTAGAAAGGGAATTGAATGCTGAATGAAGCGAGAAGAAAAAAAAAAAGGGTTTTCATTCGAAATAAGAAAGTTGATGTTACTTCCGGTCAGACCGGAAGTTAACTTCGACATGTCAATATGCTCAAATTCTAGCTCTCATGTCATTATATCGACGCTCCAAATTTCACAAACCTACTTCATACAATAACTGAGATATTCCGTAGGCAATACTTCCGTAGCCACCCGGTATAGGTGATTGTACGCATTTTATTATATTTGGTGATACTTACACAAATCCATGGGTGTTTGAGAGCTTCTGCAGCAGTGATCCTTTTTCCTGGATTGACTGTGAGCATTTGATTGATGAGATTCTTTGCTTCTGGAGTTACTGTGTCCCATTCTGGACTAGGATACTGCACACATAAATAAAATTAGTTATCTATCTTTTTCAAAAGGAAGAAGGAATGCTCAAACCCATCTCCACTACTTTATTACCGATGATCAATTCGGACTTATAAAAGTACACCTTCAGCCTTATGTGAAAATGTACACATAAAAAAAAAACAAAAGTTAACTTATATGGGGGTGGAACAGTATTTTGAATTGCATGCTGATGTCTATCATCATAATATCGTGGTTTTATATTAGTGAAAACCATGATATTATAATGATAGATATTGGCATCCAATTTAAAATACTTTTGATTTTTTTATAATATGTATATTTTCACATGCCTTTGCTTGTAGTAGCTTCTAAAAACGGCTGAAGATGGACTTTTATGAGTCCGAAACATGTCCCCTTGATTGATTTACATCAGTTATAAAGTAGTGGAGATGACTTGAGCTTTCCTTCTTCCTTTTGAAAAATTCCACTCCACTTAGAGCAAACATGGACTTCTACCAGAGATTATCTATCTCTTTCTCTTTCTCAGTTGAATTCAGAAAAATACCTGATATATTAGAAACAGTTGAATGAATTTGTTGAAATAAATAGGAAGTTGATTCTGCACGGTCTGCCCACTCCCTAATTTAGCGTTAGGGGCCGGTTCGACCGACTAGCGAGATACTGCATGGATTGGTGCTTCAAAATTCCGGATTCTGATCACCCTGTATGTGTTACAATTAAATGTCAGTAGATAGTAAATCAAAAGTTAGGATAGGGACAAGAAAACCGTTTTGGCCAATAATGAATAGTTTCGACACAAAATATTCCTAAAGTTGAAAAAAATCTAAAATTTTCACAGCTTATCTGTAATTATTTTAGCTAGACCAACTGTGATAAATCGATGAAATCAACTCTTCAGGAAGAATCTGAAAATGCAATTCAATACAGGGTGTTCCATTTAAAAATTTATAGATCTTGCCTGTAACGATTTTTTGAGATGTTCAATTGTTTTCCTGGTAACATATTCAAAATCTACAGGAACAATTATAAAATACTGTTCTATGAAAAAAAAATTCGATGATAAATAAAATAGTTAAGGCGGGGTCCAAAATATACGTGAAGATCCTTTTCTTATCTAAAAACGACAAATAAAGAGTAACACATAGTCTATGATACATATAAGATATAAAACAAGCTCCTAATCAATATGAAATATAATGAATAACACAGAATAATAATAATCCTTCAAGTGAAAATTGCAGCGTAATTTCAGTGGATACCTAGGGGGGCAAGGAACCTAGAATCAATTTCCGTACAGTAAAAAATGCGCCGCAGGAGAATTTTTCAATTCTCCAGTCGGCATCATATGGGAAAAGCTTTTATTATTGACTAATTTTGAAATTCGAGTTGGACGTTAAGTTTTGCTTCAAAAAAGATGAAAAATGGCCTACTCAATCAGGATCACGTGACTTTCGCTATATGTCAAAAGTGGGATTTTTTCAAATTAATCGCTGAAAGTAGGCTTATTTGTTCGAATATCGAAACAGTTCACTTGAAAAAGTTGTTTCTATTTGAATTTTACACATCCTTCTCGAATTTGATCATTCTATTGCAACTTCAAGATTTTGGTTTTTTTTAAATTTTTCGAAATTTCTGTAATATTTGGAGAATTGTTAATTCCACGAAACTACTTCATAACAGTAGTTTTTTCATGCTACTTACTTTCAATTACTTATCATCACTGATTATGGACAGAAATATGATTTTCTTCAGAAAATAATAATACCCGCTTCCAAATTCTGTTATGTTTGATGCAAAGTTGATATATCGTCAAGCATTTAGAAACAGAATTCATTTAAACTGATCTTTTCACTACTAAAAAAATAAATTTAAATGAATTTCGTTTCTGAATGCTCGACTTAAACATAACAGCATTTTGATGTTATGTTTGCATCACACACAACAGAATTTTGAAGCGGAGATTATCATTTTCTGAAGAAAATCATATCTTTGTCGATAATTAGTGATAATTAGTAATTGAAAGTTGGTAGCATGATCAAACTACTGGTATGAAGTTGTTTTATCGAATTCACAATTTTTTTAATATTACAGAAATTTCGAAATTTTTTAAAAAATATCGAAATCTAAAAAATGTAATAGAAAGATGAAATCCGAGTCACATATGTAAAATTGAAATAGAAACAACTTTTTCAAGTAAACTTTTTCGATATTCGAACAAATAAGCCTACTTTCAGCGATTAATTTGAAAAAATGTCACTTTTGACATGTAGCGAAAGTCACGTGACCCCGATTGAGTAAGCCATTTTTCATCTTTTTTCAAGCAAAACTTAACGTCCAACTCGAATTTCAAAATAAGTCATTAATACAAGTTTTTCCCATATGATGCCGACTTTATGAATGACACTGTATATATATCATTCAGTTTCGTGTTCCCATTTTGTTTCAATTGATACAGGATGATCTGAAGAGCAGATGAAAAGAATTTTGAATTGTCTCTGTAGGTGAATTTTTATTTTCCGAGATCATTTTAGATATTCTATCTCGTTTCTTTCAAATATATTTATTGGATGTTATAATGACACACAAGGTGTCACTGTTGATTATTATCCATCATATAGTGAGTATTTGAGATTACATTTTCAGATATCTGAAAATGGATTTTTCTCATCAGAGTGACATTTTTTGACAATCTATACCTGATTTGCCACTACTACAAATATATTGAAATAACACTCATATTTTCATTTGTATATAGAAACGAAGAGAGAAGATTCCGAAGAACCTAAGGAAATGAAAACTGTTTTGATATCTAAAATAATGGAACTCCATATGAATATGAATAAAACAGGAAGATTCAATGTGACATTATCTTTTTGTAGAAAATCAGATGGGGGATTGGGGTATCGCCCCCTCCTGCTTCCCCCCTAAATGACACCAATGTTCAAGCCTCAGGATATTAGGATAATATTACAGTGACAGTAGGTGCAATTACTAATTCAGGATACGTTTCAATATTAGAATTGTCAAATAATATCTGTAGGTTAATCGAGGAGGTGGTACTTTCATTATTCCAGATTTTTTTTAGGATTTCCTCTCCTCGTCTCTATAAAATAAAAATATGTCAAAAATATTGTCAGTGACAATTTGTATTGAAAACGGGAGCAGATTCGTTCCCAAAACCTCCAAAAATGAGAAAAAATTGGATGTTTTTTCTATATACCTTTATTTCTCTTCTCCAAACCTTTTTCAATACAAATTGTCACTGACAAGCTAGTCTCTGATAGGAAAATTCTTCAAACGCAGTGACATTTTGGTGCAAATCATCTGATTTGTCCTAACTACACGTATATTGAAATACAGTTCTCAACACACTAAATGGACCACTCTTAATTTGACTCTATTTCGAAGACCTGTATTTTTTGAAAAAATTGACCGATCTTCATGCGGTTTTCGATATCAGATGTGATGTTTCATCGGCTTCAAAGAGAACTAGATCACTCTGTAAAAGTCCGCAGAACAAAACTAACACAGGCTGTAAAGTGGAACCATTACACCATGGTCTACATTTCCAATGCTGCCAGAACTCGAGAAATTTTTTTCTGATCAAAAGTCAGTCATATTATGATACACTGGGACCTCATCTCGGAAAGGTTTCGTGATTTCTCCTCAATTGGCCATTGGAACAAAAATACGATTTTTTTTCGAAAGTCTTGCATTTCTTGATTTTTTTCTCTAGAACTCCACTTGAGCTGACTATTGGGAAGATCTGTTCCCATGTGAGGACTATTGTGGAATATACAGGATGATAAGAAAGAGGACAAAATCTCATGACAGTAAAAAAAAATCGAAAATGGTGACTAAAACCCTGTCTAAGTTTTGTTCTGCGGAATTTTCCAGAGTTTTCTATCTTTCTTTGAAGCCGATGAAACATCACATCTGATATCAAAAACCGCATAAAGATCGGTTATTTTTTTTCAAAAAAATACAGGTCTTCGAAATAGAGTCAAATTATGAGTGGTCCATTTAGTGTGTTGAGAACTGTAGTATACATATTTTTATTTCGAGACTAAAAGAGAGCATCCCGAAAAAATCTGGAATAAGTAATTCAAAATGTCATTTAAAATTCGTCCAGTAATTATGATCGGTTTTTTTGGTATATTGGAAGATATTGAAACTATATCCTTAACGGCTATTTTCTCACGAATTTTCTTTGGAGGGTTAGCCCCCCCAAACCCTTCAAGTAAAAAGTGATTTTTTCTACTAGCGTGCGGAAAAATTAATTCGCTAAGTTTTAAGGGAATATACTGAAATTTGAATACTCAAGATTTATATTTGTATTATTGTAATTTACATAATGACATAAATTGGGAATGCAACAAATTGCACGTTTAATATTAATATTAATAATAATTAATTTGCGAACTATGTATTCAAAAATAAATGTTTCTTCATGTTAACACTTGGGTTTTTCCGCACGCTAGTAGAAAAAATAGTGCACCTAACACGTGCGTAAAGTTACTTTTCGCACTTGTTAGGTAAACTACTATTACTGGAATAATATAGGCACTCACATCGTAGGCGCCCGCCTTGATCTGCGCGTACAGCCGGTGCTGGTCCTCGTCCCAGAAGGGCGGGTAGCCCACCAGCAGGATGTACAGTATGACGCCGCACGCCCAGATGTCCACCGGCTTGCCGTACGGCTCCTTCTTGAGCACCTCGGGCGAGAGGTAGCCGGGCGTGCCTGCGAAGCCGAACCACGCCTGCTGCTCCCCCTGGACTTCGATGGCCAGGCCGAAGTCGGCGAGCTTGACGGCGGCGCCCTTCTGTTTGCTGGCCAACAGCAGGTTTTCAGGCTGATGAGGAAAAATAGGTGAATGTGAAAGGAACTTCATAAACACAACATGTTGCGCTAATACAGTAGCTTATATTGCCTACTGGTACTGGTACTGGTGGGGGACGTTTGCACATCAGCAACTAGTCCCTAATGGGACCTTTTTGCAAGCCCCAGGGTGTTTTTCAATGACTGATGTGGTTCGCTTAAGAGAGCTGGCTAACATCCTTTTCAGGCACCGCCCATCAGCTCTCTTTCAGATTTTTTCGGCTGTGTTTTGTAGGCTTATAATGTATTCACTACCATATGCTGAAGTGGCAGGCCTGCTAGCTCTTGTTAACCCACGTTAGACACCGAGTTCCACTAAGCAGCTGGCCCGCTCTCACGCTCAGCTGGTAGTTTTCCACACCCACCTACATACACCGTCCTACTTCTTCTCTGATGCTCACAACCACATCATCATCTCTTTCTGCGTGTTCTGTGTAGGCTTTGTTACTAACTCCATGCGCCACTTTAGGAGCAGCACTGTTAATAGGAACGCAATAGCGAATCGTGCAGGACTATCCCCAGCTGATGCTCCGAAACTTCACAATATTTAATTCGTAAATAGAATATTGAAAGAAGTTTCTTGCTCGTGCTGGGAATCGAACCCACGAGCTAGCGATCGTGAGACAGACGCTCTACCACTGCGCCAATCCCGGCTCGCTTATATTGCCTAACTACTATGTATACAGGGTGTCCGGAAATTAGGCGCAAAAAATCAAGGGGGTGATTCTACATGATAAAATAAGAATTTCATTCCATATGTACGTGGGTCCGGAAATGCATAGTTTTCAACATACAGTGTGTAAAAACTTTTTAAAAAGTTCTGTTTTTCATGAATATCTCAAATGTGCTTCCACCGATTTCCTTGAAATTTGGCAATGATATTTCTTGTCATGAGGGGCTGATATAGCGATAATTCAATCGGAATTATAAAAGTCAGTGGCGCCCCAGGGGGCAACCTAGCGAATATTATTGTGAATAAAATGTGCGCCACTGATTTTTTTGAATTCTTCATCTCCATAACCTATTGAGCAACTAAAAATACAACTTTTTGGTCTCTTGAATTGTTCTGGAAATTTGCTTTATTTCCATGGAAAAAAATAAATACTAATTTATTGCATGAATTTGTGCCAAAAAATTCCTTTAAAAACTGGGGTGAAAATAAATGCGTGTTTAATGTCCATAGACATAGAATGAGTATGAAGATTCATTCTCTTCAAATATTTCTTGATACATGTTTGACACACTCTACACTCTGTATATAGAGAACTATGTATTCTCGCTCCAGGGAGGCGCAGTTTTCGATAATACAAAGTGTGTTAAACATCTAATATGAAATATTTGAAGTAAATGAATCTTCATTATTATTCTATGTCTATGGACATGGATCACACATTTAATTTCAGCCCTGTTTTTAAAGCTTTGTTTTGCACAAATTGATACAATGAATTGGTATTTATTTTTTTCCACGGAAACGCAGCAAAATTGCAAAACAATTCAGGAGACCAAAATGTTGTATTCTTAGTTAATCATTAGGATATGACGATGTAGAATTTGAAAAAATCAGTGGCGCACATTTTATTGACAATAATATTCGGTGGGGTGCCCCCGGGACGCCACTGGATTTCACAATTCCAATTCAATTATCGCTAAATCAGACGCTCATGTCGAAGAATATCATCGCCAAATTTAGAGAGAATCGGTGAAAGGATATTTGAGATATTCATAAATAACCGATTTTTTCTAAAAAGTTCGACACACTGTATCTTGAAAACTATGCATTTCCGGACCCGAGTATATATGAAATAAATCTCATGTTTTCTCATGCAGAATCGCCCCCTTGATTTTTTGCGCATAATTTCCGGACACCCTGTATCCTACTTTTCCATCCTGAAAGATTAAAATTTAGAAGTTCAAAAATTCCTGTGAACATTGATGCGCCAGGACCAATAGGAAACTCTGGCCGTCATCAGGGCCAGTACATGTCTGCCGATACATTCAAATAAAAAAGAGGCAACCGCCACGGGATTCGAACCCCGGTCCTTCGCTATCACTTGATTTTACTTTAATTGTATTAAAGTTGTTTATTTCATTAGACTTGGGTATATTACATCACATATTTCACAAATACATTTTATTTTTGGAGATGGTAAATAGAATCCTCCGCGCAAGACAGAGGAGCTTGAAATCACCATTCCAAAAATGTAGCACACTTGATATTTTATTGAAGTCATTTTTGAAATGCAGAGCTTTTTTGGTTTTCACATCTAAACTTTGAAACGCACATTTTGAACAAGTAGGCTTTGGACGACGCGGTGATAAAACAGAAATCGAATGTTCACTGTACTGTCAAATTATGATCAAAGTGATATTAGAGCAGTAAAGACGCTCCTCAATTCGTGGTTTTCGTTCAATTCACAAACACATTTTCAATGAAGTTTGAAAATTATGAAAAATGGGATAGAAGCAGCAAGCTATTTGTACCACGAGAGGTATCCAGAGAGAAGACAACCATTTAGAGATATTTATGCGAGATTGCGACGCAACCTAATTGATGATGGTCAATTCGAGATGGATAGGGATTTGGAAGGAATAGTTGTTTTAGGAGCTGTTGAAAATAATCCCAGAACTTCAACACAAAATTTGGAAATAACAACAGGCCTACCAAGAAGTAGCATTAGACGGACTCTAAAAAAGAACAATGATAGACAATACGGCTTTCGCCACCGAAGATCTACTGGAGATCTACTTGCCTACGTCACCCATTTATGGCAAGCTTCATTAGAAAAACACGGGGAATCTCTAGCTGTCGCATTGGACATATCGAAAGCATTTGACCGTGTTTGGCACGAAGGACTCCTCCACAAACTACCATCATACGGCTTACCACCTCAGCTATGCCATCTCTTATCGAGTTTTCTTTCAGGCAGATCGCTTCATGTGGTGGTGGACGGTGTATCGTCGGATACAATTGGCATCAATTCCGGCGTTCCACAAGGATCAATTTTGGCACCAACATTATTCCTTCTTCATATCAATAATCTGTTGGGAGTAACAACTTGCACCATCCACAGCTTTGCAGATGACAGTACCCTCCATACTGCGTTCTCTTCCAGAATTCCCATTTCTTCCCAGGAAACTAAGAACTCACGGCGCAGGCAGGTCAATTCTGTCAATGAAGACCTTGCTGAAATCACAGCCTGAGGAACCAACAACCTAGTTAAATTCAACGCCACCAAAACTCAAGCCTGTATTTTCTCTAGAAAGGCGGAACTCAGTATGCCCGACATTGTAATGTCTGGCACCACCATCCCCACCAAGCCCACCATATCTATGCTCGGTATTTCCATCAGCAACACTCTTTCATGGGAAAATCATGTGAGATACATCGCAAAAGCTGCTTCACAAAAACTCGGATTCTTGTTTTGTGCGAGAAGCTACTTCACACCTCAACAGCTTCTCATGATCTACAAAGCGCAGATATGGCCTGTTCTAGAATACTGTTCCCACATATAGGGTTCAGCACCAAAACATACGCTGATGCTCTTAGATTCCATCCAGAGAAGAGCCATCCGCCTGGTGGGTGACGCCACACTCACTCACTCTTTGACATCATTTTGGAACACCGTAGAAAGGTCGGCGACCTTTCACTTTTCTATCGATACTTCCACGGGAAATGTTCTTCGGAAATCTCTGCTATCATCCCTTCACTAGCAATACCAGTCAGACGAACTAGACAAGCCCAGTCAGCACATCCTTTCGTTGTCAACCTCGAAAGATGTCGAACAGCACTTTATCAAAACTCCTTCATCCATAGAACGGCTAGGCTCTGGAATTCATTGCCTGAGGAAGTATTCCCAACAACATATAATCTCCAGAAGTTGAAAAAAATTCCAATACCTACCTCCTATCCCTATCCTCCCTAGGAACGCACGATGTTCTTTGAACATTATAGGGATTCCCTTTCGTGCGCTCCAAGCGATAAAAAAAAATTCAAGCCATACAGGACCAGAAAAGTTCATCACCTCATACCAGGAGATTTTGAACGCCGCTGCCAATGGTTTCTAGAGAATTGTAACCGAGTTCGTGATTTTCCGTTAAATTGTATTTGGACTGACGAAGCTTATGTGAGCAGTGCCGGAATTTTCAACCGCTACAATTCGTATACTTGGGCACAACAGAATCCTCATTCTATTGTGGAGCAGAGAATACAAAGAAGATTTGGATTCAGTATATGGGCAGGTGTTTTTAGGGGTAGATTATCGGGCCGTATATTTATGATGACACTCTTACCTCTCAGAGGTATTTGGAAATTTCAAGGAATCAAATAGAACACCTTCTTGACGAATTGCGCTAATGGAGCTCAGGAAAATATATTTTCAGCAAGACGGGGCTCCCCCTCACAACACTGCAATCGTCCACAATTTTTTAGCAGCGACTTTTGGCAATAATTGGATAGCCAACCAAGGTTCCAACCGTTGGCCGGCTAGGTCACCGGACCTAACGCCTATGGACTTTTACCTCTGGGGAAGGATGAAAGATCTTATTTTTGAATTGCCGACCAACTCTAGACAGGAATTGGAAGCGGCAGTGATGCAGAGTTTCGCTTTTCTCACTCCCATTGAACTAATCAATGCAGCAAGACATGTTCAGAAAAGGTGCCGCCTGTGCGTAGGAGAAGCTGGTAGACATTTCGAACACCTTCTCTGAAGGAAATTTTCTGTTCTTGTTCGTTCTATATTATTGTTGTTGAAGTTTATTTATCATTTTCAAATATAGTTTGAATTGTTTTCAGTTCAGTTGTGTTGAACAAATGAGTTTTAATTACTGCTATGAACAGCTTTCTTAAAATTTGACGGCTTTGGAATTCCTTACCAATGGAAGTATTCCCAAGAACTTATAACCTTCAAAAGTTCAAAGGAAATTCCAACACCTACCTCCTCTCCCTATTTCCCCTAGGAAACGCACGATGCTCCACGAACACTATAGAAATTTCCTTTCGTGCGCTCCAAGAGATGAAAAAAATTCGCCTTCTCTTTTATCGCCGCATCTAAAAACTTAAAAGCACTGTATTTCAAAATCGACTTCAATAAAATATCAAGTGTGAATGGTAATCTCAAGCTCTATTGAAATATGCAGAAATATACAGGGTGTCCCATTTGAAAAAAATATTTTTCCGTTATTAACTATTGATATATACTTTGGAAAAATAAATTACTTATACCATTGAATTCTACGTGAAAAAGTGCTTTGGAAATGTTTTCATAGAAACAACAAATTTTCGACAGGAAAAAAGTTACAGCAAGTTTTCGAAAATGCACATGCTGTTACTCAGGAACGATGACAGATATCGATGTGCAGTTTTCACCGTTGAGTTTGTCATAAAAATCAGTTTTCGTCTATCTAGTTTGAAAATAAGACTTTCTCTTTAGAAGTGTCCAATTTGGCCCACCCTGTACATCAGAGGAATGGTTTGCAATTTCGGTTGACAACAGTTATAAATGAACGCGTGATTGCGTCAAACTGGAAATGGAGCCAACAAATATGAATTGGTCAATTCGGTTAATTTGATTAAAATTCATCAGAAGGAAATTTCCCTATTCAAATAATATATTGATTGTCAAGATCGTATCAGGAAAAAAGTATGTTACATTTGTTGTAGAGTCTACTAGCGCGAACTATGTCACTATCCACACCAGTTATGTAACATAAACTACTATTTTTTCAGGTGAATTCATTTCATTCAGAGTGTGAAGACGATGTCTTACCTTGAGATCTCTATGAACTACACCGTTTTGGTGACAATGATTGACAGATTCTAAAATTTGTTGTATACAGTGTGACGCGTCCGCTTCCGAGTAGAATTCTCTTGCTACAATGTCTTCGAATAATTCACCACCAGTTACCCTGAAAAAAAAAACAGAAATTAATTCAGCAGACCGAGCAATAATACACATCAAGTGTGAAGAAAGTAGATGATTAGCGTGCCAAGTTGAGTTAGAATTACATATGAAAACTCTCTCAAGGGCTCTGAGACTGTGAGTTTATACAGAAGGAATAAGATAAGAAAATTCAACACACGTATTATAAACGAAACGTTCATACATTAACTAAGGTAAAATAGGAAATAAGGAATAAAATCAGAGTTTGGCAACTTTCAACTTTTTATTTTATTTTGTTTGAAAAGGGAAAAGCGCATGTGCAGATGTCAGGTTGGCAGTTGACGTAAATGTCATTGTCAGATAAGGATGATTCAATTGGTCACAACGGATTTGTGTTACTGACGTGATTGATCCAGTCCTATTTCTTATTTAATATTATTCATCTGTATAAATTGGTCCTCATAATTCTTATTTCTTAAATTATTTTATTTTATTCTTATTTCCTCTTGTTTGCTGTATAAACCTTAGGTGAGTATAAGGAAACGGTGAATCCGAGGTTCCCTATAGCCGGATATTTACCACCCTTGATTGATTGATTATTGATTGATTAATAGCAGAATGATCAGTCAGGTTTCGAAGCCCAAAACACTGCAGCCTTTGGGCCTATTGTATTCCTGATCATGCTGTTGACTTAGGTGAACAGGTTCGCTACCTTGATAAGGTTTAGCAGCCTCTTCACCAAATCATTCCTTGGAAAGGCCTCTTGAGAGCTTACTGCTCCCAGAAGGTTTTATCTCCAACGCGCTAGTGCTTCGCACTCCAATATTACATGGGTGGCAGTTTCCTCCTCCTCATTGCATAGTCTGCATATGGGTTCGTCTGTATAGATGCTCATTTGATGCATATGTTTCCTCAAGGGGTAGTGACCGGTTATTAGTCCCGTCACTTGTCTGATCTGACTTCTGTTTAGGCTCAGAATGTCGTTAGTCACTGTTTTGGACAGTGTTCCAACCATCAGTTTACTGTGTCTTTGTCCTGGGACATTGTTCCAGTATGCCTGATGTCTTTCTTGCATCCACCTTGCCAGCCAGCCGCGTATTGAGGTTTTGGGAATACCGAACACCGGTTCCGGTCCCATAAACAACGCCGCAGACCCTTGCCTGGCAAGAGCGTCAGTTGCTTCATTGCCTTCCCCTTATGCCCTGGCACCCATTGAAGAGTTACCTTGTTGTGGTTAGCCAGGGTTAGCAGGCTTTGAAGGCAATCCCAGACCCTTTGTCTTGGGTAATATCTCCTTCTCTCTTGCTTTCTTCAAACTATCCCATCGACCAGTGCCAGATTTAGGGGGGGGGGGCTATGGGACTATCAGCCCCCGGCGGTGAATTTTAAGAGGCGGTAGAGAGAAGCGAACGCGCAATTATTAGCGACCGCCGGCAGTTGGCTACGCATCAAAACGACTAGGTTGGGATAGTGTTTTATTGAAAATCATAACATTTACTATTATTAGTAACAAAGTAAATTTCCTGTGATCACTTCAAAATCTGAGTATTCTAAATCAGTCAACCTATTCGATACGAATCAGTACGACCTATTAGTGACAGCCATAAAATTTGCTACTTGTAACAGGCAGGTCTAGAACAATGCAATATTCCATTTGGATCTAATAGGGCTCTTTTAGCAAAATCAATCTATTTAGACGGGGGAATAGCGCAGTTGGTGAGGCGCTCAACTTGTAATCGGAAGATCTCTAGATCGAATCCCCGGCGGAGCAGAGAATTTTCATTTATAAAACGAGTTATAAATTCTAAATTTTGTATCCTCGGCCGGAGATGATTTCGCACGTTGACTGTTGCGTTACAATTAACAGTGCTGCTCCTAAAAGGTGATTGAGTCAGTAAGCCTGCACAACACACAAGGCCGAAAGACCTCTCGTAAGGTCGATGGCCAGTTAGTGTGTGTACATCATGTGTACATACACATTCAACAATGTACATATAACTCTCTCTCGCAATCTATTTATTTCCGAAAATGAAATGCTTTGGCACCTATTTGATGCAGATATTCCGCTGTGGTTATGCAATCTTCTTAGTCACCAATAAAAAAAAATTTCAGTGTATTCTAGTATTTATCTAAAAAATATATATATTTGTTGTTTGTTGTCAGGTTTGAGGTGAGAAGTAAATATAATTCGATTCGTTATACGTAATGATTTCATGTTATTGTCATATGATGTGATAAAATAAAACTTTTCTTTTTTTCTTTTTCCACATATGTGGCCCAAGATTTATCATTTTGTGGAATGGTAGGTACACAACTCTTCAACATGGTTCCGGAAGTACAGGTTGTTACTTGTTGTCAAGACAGATTCCCGAAAATTTAATGGTATGAGTAGACGAGACGATTTCTCTCCCTAGTGGAATGTTTGGTATAGTACATTCAAATGACAATAAATGTTATGTGTAGCAGATTTGGGTGAAAAAATGCAAGAATTGTGCTATTTGTGATAAAAGCATGAAACTTTCAGGAATTGTTCTTCATATAAATATAAGTGATTTGAGATAGGGAGGCCCCGAAAAAGTTCACAAGAGAACAAAATGGCGGCCATGTCAATGTTGATATAATGATACATAGGTGAACGATGATTAGATTCGTACTTTTCATTATGAATGAGAAATTTCAAGGATTGTGCATTATATAGTAATGGGTAATTGAAGTGGGATTCCTAGAAAAGTAAACAAAAAAACAAAATGGCGGAAATAACCTAATATATGGTGAAAAATCATAATTATCGTGATTTTGTTGATAGAATCATGAAATTTCCTGGAATTGTGAAACATATGATCCTGAATGATTATACAAATAGAAACTTTAATTATATTATGATATTGACACGATTTGCTCCTTGTAGTCATATACAGGGTTATCCAAACTGAGTGTCCAACAATCGTAACTTTGTTATTATTAATGATACAACATTTTTCAAAAAAACAAACTAGCAGTATTTTTGTCGTTATTTGAGATAAAAGAATTGAAAATAAACAGCTTGATCTTGATTTTGAAAAAGGAATATACATTTTTTACATAAAAACCCTTTTTTAAATTTTGTCTGTTATAACTACAAGTTTTAAATACAAATTCTAATCGAAATACCGATTGTTCGGAAATTCCAACAATTCTGTATCATCAACAATAAAAATGGATGCAGACACTGAAATTGAATAACCCTGTATATGAGCTATATAGGAAAAATAGCGGCAAATGATTCCAAGTAACAAGTAATCATAGTGATCTGTAAAATATGGAACATACCAGTGATCAGAGATTAGGTTGGGTCGAATGAGGTTTTTTTATATCAAATCACACCATATTGTACAATTATATTCGATGGTTTGAAATATTAGTACATCGGATCATGATTGAGATAACGTGATGAAACCTAATTTTCCATAAGAAGTTATTAGTTCTCACAATTGCCCCCACACTTCTAATGACGTGCACTGGACATGATATTTTACACATTTGCAATGTCCTGAGCATTTCTGTTGATGGCAGGCACAAGCCATAATCTCTATACAAGATTTCAATGCCTCTGGGATTGTGGTCCATGTTGGTTCCCAACCAATGTCATCACGCGTCCATCCCCATGCACCTGGTGAAGGTAGCACAGGTTTTTTGACATTGGCTTGTCCCCAAACATGGCCTGCTTGATAAGCTGCTCTTTTGACATGTAACATAAGTGCATCTCAAGTTGAAGGTATTCCATCTAGGGTTCGATGCTTCTGCGTAAAAAGATACCTTCTTGCAGCATTAACATCCGTTTCCGAACATGTATGGTCATACATTATTACAACAAACTGTTGAAGGATGTCAAAGATATCGGAATCAATATCATTGCATGGCCGAGATATCGCAATCAGTGCATGGGTCATTTCTGGGCATTTTTCCCATGCTTTCCAAGCAGATTTTTCACCTCGTGTGGCAAATGCTGACACAGTATCGCACCCAGACAATGCATGAAAAGCTGGTAGAGCGGATGCTTTCTCTAGTCACATACCTAGCTGAAGCAACTCCATGGACAGAGATTACGCGTATGTTCTTTCCTGTTCCTAATTCTATCCACAGTTTGATATTTGCGTTGATGTACTGAGCAGCAAGAGCTATACCTAATACCATAACATCAAAATCAACAGTCCTGATGAGAATTCGTGAACATCCCTGTTGCATAGCAGCATGTGCATGTAACATCAGTCTCGTATCAGCTTCTTCATGTGAACATGGAGTCACGGATTCAAGGCAAATATCAACATTACTGATTGTATATATCCTCTCCTATTGTTGTCACTACAGTCCCAACGTCAGGCGATATGTTTCTCAAATGTGAACTTAGAAAGTGAAACAGTTCCTCTTTGTTTTCATCCATTCGCAAAAATTCATGCCATGTCTTCGGCACCGACTACCTAATCAATACATATCAACAAGTCCAGACAAGTTGATGCGTGTATTCGTAACTAAATGATTTCTGGGAAAAAACGTATCGCTTGGCAACAAATTCGTAGAATTCGAGATTTTATAATGAGAGACAATTGAGATGACCCTGTGTTACTTTACTGAATTGGTAATGCTGCCATTTTGTTTTTTTTGTGAGCTTTGCTACATTCATTTATCCAACACCTACTCGGAACATTTCTTGAAAATTCAACATGTTTTCATCATAAAACGCAAAATTTATAAAATCGTTCACCTTGTTACCTACATGAAATCTAATTTGACAAGGCCGCCATTTTGTTTTCTCGTGAAATTCCTCAGGGCTTTTTCATTTCATATCACTAAGGACTACTAATTGTACATATCCTGTGAATTTCATGATGAAAAGAACAGTTGTAATGACCGTTCACCTGTGTTATATCACATTCGAAATGACATGGCCGCCATTTTGTTTTCATGACGACTTCTTCAGGATCTCCCTATTTTTGAGCTTTAAGGACTCTATACTGAACAATTCCTCAAGATTTCATGATTTTTTGATGAAAAATACAATTAGAATGA